TCGAAAGAGTTATCGGGCCCGAACAAAATTTGCACTGACGAATTTCATCCTAGCATAAGTGGATTTGAGTCAATTTAAGCTTTAGATCTTTAAATTTTAGGTCTTTATTTAGGTCTTTAGGCCTTTAAATTAAAGTCTTTGCGCAGTCAGTCCTGTTTAAGGCAGCAGATGAAAAAGCAAACGAGATGTTCAAAGAGCCGGAGCAAAATTCGGGCAACAATAACACCTCTTCAGCGACAGGCCTGATTGTTAGCGAATACAAGGACAAAATTGCGGCTCTCGAAACAGCGAATGCAGATTTGGAGCGTACGAATGAGGTTCCTCTTCTGTGTTGAAATTGTGTTTAATGAAATGCTGCTACCACTGTACTTAGCGGGAAAACAAAAAAAACTGCTAGTTAAGCCACAGATGGTAAACTAGACTGTTGCATCATGACTTCCTTCTAGGTAGATTCGTGTAATGGCACGAAAGTGGCATATATAAGGCCGCCATGTAAAGTAGTGCCGATCCAGTGTAGGGTTGTGGAATTGTGGAGGCGACCCAGTCGACTTACGAGAGGGACCTTGTTACTACTCCAACTTATAGCCCAGTCAAGAAAACGCGTAGCCAGTAAACCCAATAAGAGCATGTATTAGCAGCTGTTCCGGGTACTGATGGGAGTTTGATAGTTTGCCGAAATTTGTGATTGGAATTGCAGCAAAAACAGAGCAAAATAGACGCACTGGAAAAGAACTGCGACGAATTTGATCGTGTGGAGGAGGAATTGAGGGAATTATTGTGGTCGGCCAGCGAGGAACGTAAAAAAGATGTAAGTTTTCTCCTTCTTTTTATTATGAGCGCAAAATCTTGTGAATGTTACTGGCAATTAGCTACTATTAGAAAATTCTCTCCAAGCGACAAAAGTTTTTGTCGAGCGGTAAAATTTGCAACAAAAAATTTACAACAAATTCAAACATTTTCGTGCTGGTGGGTTTTTTTTGAGGTTGAGATTTCGATTTTATAAATGAGAAAGTCGATCCTTTTTTGCAATGTGTTCGTTTGTTACCAAATCCTCCATTAGCTTGCTTTTTCGAAGTAGTTCTCGAAAGAGGAAACCATCGACAGCCATGGCTGTTGCTGGCTTCTCTTTGCAAAAACCACTTAAGCTGTATTTTCCTCTCGGTCCTCCTGATCTAAAGCCACAAGCTCTCAAATGATTTTTTTTAGCAAGATTTAATCGCCCAGCTGCAGAAGAAGCTCAAAGAGACGCAGATCAACCGAAGCGATGAGGAGATCCGCCAGAAAGAGGAGTTGGCCAGCTTACGTATACAAATGCAAAGGAGAGAGGAGGAGTGAGTTTTATTTTGTAATTTTTATTTTGTAAAGAGTTTGATGTATAATTAGGGTATATAAGGAAGAGAAGTATGTATGACTTGATTATTTTGCGAGAATTTTCAAAATCTCCCATGGTTTGTGGCAAAATT